TTTTAAATCATTAAAGAAACCAAAGGGCACATCTTTTGAAACACAAGAGGTCTTTTCAGTTTCATTCACCAACTCGGTAGGAATGCTTAGTGTTTGCTACAAGGAAATCAGTCAGGGAGAAGGGCCTAGCGGCTCTCAAGCTGGGTGAGGCACATCCTGAGAAGATGCCTCAGTTTTTCCAAAGTGCAGCAGATGGCGATGGCGGCTGGCTGGTGTGGCGGCCATATGCCCAGGACAGCGGCTTATCTGCATCTGCGTGTGCTCGTCCTATTTTCTCTGTGTTTTATGTACCTACCCCAGCAATGCAAATGGGAATTAGACACAAAATAGAAAAGTATACTGCCAGACTAAAAACAGAACAATACTTTCCCCTCTGTCTCGCAGGCGGACGTGTTGATTCTGTCCTTCTTTGTTTCTGACGAGCACGGCCTCTTGCTTCAGGACAGCTTCCCCCAGCCTCCCGCCTACCAGTCTCTCCTGGGAATGGAAGTACCCCATTATTATTTCACCAGAAAGGTAAGAACCCCACAAGCGCTAGGCGTTGTCCTCAGGGTACCCCCTCTCGGGCTGGGGTCTCCCAGGCTCGCATTAAGCAAGGCAGACCATCTGCTCTGATTTGTCCCCTGAAATTCCAAAGAATATGGGGTCTCCTATGTTAGGAGAATGACTAGACGTGGCTTTGCTCTCAAGACAGACAGCACTGTTTTGAGGAAAAGGGTCCTGGTGTCACTCAGGTGTCCTCCCAACGTCTCCCCTGAAAGCACCACACCCTGCAGCTTTCCTGTCTTTTTTTAAATTCTAGCTTCTTTTTAAAAATTATGTATTCCTATATCCACTGTAGAAAATTTAGAAGCTACAGATACAGACCAAAGATGATGCCAGTCTCTATAGTCCCAGCCCCCAGAGATGGCTGCTGGGAACAGGCTGGTGCATGCCTTTTCAGGAGGTTTCTGTCCTTACCCACATGTGTGTGAGTTACACGCACGTAGGGTTTTTACATACATTTGTGAGAGAACAGGGTCGTTTTTAGCACCCACATACATGCGCCCCAACAAGGTCACTTTGGAAGTGTTAGTTGCCTTCCCTGGGACTTGGTCTCCTCGGCTCCATGACCCCCCATCTGTGAATGTGATATGACAAGTTGCATGTGGGTCTGTGATTCTGAGACTCGGCTGAAACTGAACATATGATGGTGCGCATGTTTGAAACAGTGGATCTAAGCACAGTTGGTTCACACAAGCTCACCACATAAAACAACATCATACAGCCATTGGCACAGTGAATAGTGCGTGGACTGACCTTTACTTGTGTTCAATGGAATTTCTTTGTGAAGATTGGGAAGGGTCTTATTTAACTCCCAAATTCTGGAGTCAAAACAGTTTTTCTCAGTCCCATATTTGAAATAGATTCGTTTCACCAGACTGACATTTCTCTGAATTTTATCCTTATTTACTACTCCTTAGGCATTTTCATTTCTCTTTGATTTGAGAACTCAGAAAATTGTGAGAAACATTTAAATGTTTCCTATCGAGTATTTTTCCTCCATTATTCTCACATTATGGACTTTGGTTTCTCCCCCACATTTACGCAGCCTTTTTCTCTCTCATTTCTTGTCTCCTCTGCACCCACTCTCCTAGTTGCCCCAGAGAGGAGATGTGTGTGATGCAGTGTAAGGTGGCTCCCCACTTACCTTCTGTCACCTTAACTCTGCAGTTTCCTCAACATCTTTTTTTTCTTTATTTTAAGCTCTAGTTGTGTGTGTGATGATACTTCCTCATTTGCGTGTCCTCTTTAACCAGGTTTATAAGGGACGTGACACAGTGGCAGCTCCTCATGGGAGCCCACATCACTGCACAGAGCTCTCATCCCGGTCAGAGGTATGGCACAGACAGGCTGTCACCTGATGTCTGTAGTCCAGAACATAGTTTGTTTGCCATGTAGGAAGTCTTTATTTTTTTTTAAAGAAAATTTAATTGGAACAGTGTGTTTTTCTAGGTCCCATCAACTCTAAGTCAAGTAGTTGTTCCAATCTAGTTTTGGAGGGCGCAGCTACAGCTATGCGGCCCATGTGGGAATCAAACCGGCAATCTTGGTGTTATGAGCCTGCGCTGTAACCACCTGAGCTAACCGGCTGCCCCTAGGCAGTCTTTTTAATTTGACCCTAAAGTTCTTAGGATGAATGGCCATTAACACGTTAAGCGCTGAGCCGATTTTGCTGGGCTTTCCATTCAGGCGGTGGGCCGGCATGTCGGCACGCCGGCAACCACTTGGGTGTTGAGTTAGAGTATAAACAGGTGCACAATGGTGCAGCCAATGCAAAAGTATACAAATTCTAAACACAAGATAATGAGGTTGGGAACGGTAAGAAGGTGACCTCCAAGAGACGATCAGTTAGAAAAAGCCACAGAAGTGTAAAGATCTATTTGAGCAGAGAGAATTTAGTTTTCACAGTGATTACTTTCAAAAAGATTTGTTACCCATAATACCAAAAATGTTGAGAGGGTCGATACAAGAAGAAGCATTCACCAATTGGAAAAAAAAAGAAGGAAAGGCGCATAAAGTGCGTAGATATTGTTTTGAATGTTACAAGACAAATACAAAAACATTCCGGCGCAATGCAGCTAGAAAATTAACTAAACAGGTCGTTACCTTTTGTAATATGTGCAAATCTAAACCACATCTTTGCCTAGAATGTTTTAATAAACTTCATTAAAGTTACATTTACTTTTTTAACCTTGATACTGCTGGTCCCACTCACCAATGTCGCCCAAACAAAAAGTTCGCTGTCAGTCCCCAGGGACTGATGCCGCACTTAATGTGTTAAGCATTGCGTTTTTCTAAAAGCCGTGCTGCTTCTGATGACTGACCTGTAGTCACGTCCCTCGGCCAAGTCCGGGCGGTTCCTGTCATCCGCACACTCAAGCATGCAGCCAGGGCAGGTGGCCCAGTCCCTCCCTAGCAGAGCTGTGATGAGAGCCGTGGCGACTGCTGGGGCAGGTAGCAGGTGAAGCAGGGCCCGCAGGTGTCTCTCTCAGAATTCCCAGATGTGCTCACGGAAGCAGAGCTCTGATTAGATCGCAGCAAGGTTGATGGACGTCAGGTCCTGCCTTGGGATGGTTAAACCACAGTGAGTGGCAGTGCCCCAGTCATTTTTCTGCACACACATTTCTGGAGGTTTCCCACTCAGTGCAAAATCCGCCCAAACTCCAGCCTCCTGCAGCCCATACACAACCATGAACCCTGAATGTAAGCCGCCCTGGACCGCGGGCCTCCTCAGGGCTTTTGCTTATGCTCTGCCCTGCGCCATCCACACCTAGGTCTGACACATTCTACCAGCATTTCAAGGCCCATCAAGCACCCCCTGAAGTTGGGAACTGCAGGTGAACTTGAGAAGCAGCAGGGAGATGGAGGAGCTGCCAGGACTGAGCTGGAGGCAGGTGGTAGAGGCTAGCCTTGCAGAAGTCACAGAGTAGCAGCAGGTTCAAGACCAGTGACATGCAGGGGGCGCTGGGTCCCAGGAGGGTGGAATATGACCCCCCTTTACACTGGGGAGCTTGTGCGGACACCAGAGAAATGGCTCCTGCACAGAAAGAAAGAAGCAGACAGTGGAGAAGAGGGGTGTGTGTGTGGGTTCCAGCCCAGAGGAGAGCGGGCGGGCGCAGCACCCAGCAGGCGGGAAGGAAGCCAACATTTAAGCACGCCAGTCCCTCAGTAGGTTGTATTTCAAGGTGCCAAGTGCGAGGAGGCATCAGGCAGCACACGAAAATCATGCTGGTGCTGGGGCCAGAGGACACTCTTCCTCTACGCACACCTGTTTGGGAGCTCTGCACTCGGTTGATGGTTCTTCTGAGAAAAACCAGTGGAGGGCACGCCGCTCATCCAGGTTATCGTTTCAGAAAATTCCACCTGAAATCGTGCTGGCGTTACGTCATTTTAAGACCTTTGCACATTTGTGTGTCCATGTCTGACTTGACAGTAAACACTCTTTCTAGTTTACAAAACAAACCTGGCAAGTGAGGATTTTCACAGCCTTTTTTTTTTTTTAATTGGGGAACAGTGTGTTTTTCTAGGACCCATCAGCTCCAAGTCAAGTAGTTGTTTCTATCTAGTTGTGGAGGGCATGGGGATCGAACCGGCAACCTTGGTGTTATGAGCTATGAGTTATGCTCTCTAACCAACTGAGCTAACTGGCCCCCCCAACTCCAAGTCAAGTGGTTGTTTCATTCTAGTTGTGGAGGGCATATTTCAATAGCCCATATGGGAATTGAACCAGCAACCTTGGTGCTATGAGCACTGCGTCCTAACCAACTGAGCTAACCAGCCGCCCCATACAGTCATTTTATAACTATTGAAACGTTGACATCAGGGAGGCAGAGGCTGAAAGGTGGGTTCTTGCACATGGACAGCCTTTGTTCATCCACTATCTGAAACCAAAGCCAAAAGCTCTGGTAACTTTGAATGAGGACCAGGGCCTCTGATAACTTCATTGCATGTGGCAGGGCCTCTTGCTGAGTGTCTGTGCCTTTCTGCAGAAGGACCCCTATAGCTGATGCTGCTCGAAGAAGAGGCTTAGCATAGGCATTAGCTTTACATGAACGGAGACGTAAATAGTGCCCTTTGTCATTCAGCCGGGAGAAGCAGACAGAGACGACTGGGCAGATTCGGGGCACCACTCCATCCCCCAGATGGTGGGCAGGAGGCCCCTGCGAGACTTCGTGGGGCTGGAGGACTGCGACAAACCCACCCGGGACACCATGCTCAACTTCAGCTTCTTCGTCACTGTCGGAGACATGGATGAGGCTTTCAAATCTATCAAACTCATCAAAAGGTAAGAATTCCATTCACTGAGGTGTCAAAGGGATGTATACACCCTTTGAGTATTTTCTCTACATCTCTCCTCCCCTTCCGAATGCGAGTGTAAGAATCACTGACTTCTGTGACACTGTCATGCTGTACTTCACTCAAATGAAACGCTACTGTGCTTGCAGACACCAGGTCACACAGGTTGTGCCGTCACAGAGCAGTGCATTTTGGGAAGTGGGTGAGCCTGGTGCTCGTAGCCTCTTGGGCTGGTATTTAATTAGTTTGATTTATTTTATAGTGTCCTGGACACTTCCTAGTCAGAAGCTCTGCAGCTGCTAAATACTTATAATACTTCCCATCCCTCTGGGAAGAATTGCTACTAAACAAAAACAGGGTTTTATAATAAACACTCAAAACAGTGGAGTGAAAAACACATTTAAATTGATCTAAAAGAAGTTTTCAATCAAAGGCTGTCGACAAGCAGCTTCCTCTATATTCCTGAGAGAAGTCAGCAAATCTTCCCAAGTGCACTTGACAGATTTTAATCTGGAAAGGGTAGAAAAATGATTGAAGAATGAAACTAAAGTGGAAAGAGAAAGATGGGAAATTAAATTACCTGGAACCGGTCCCCCTCATTTGCAGTGGTAATTTCTGTAACACGGAAGCACTTTTCAAACCAGCATGTGATCCTAGTCCCTTGTCTCATTTCTAAAATAGTGTGGCCAAACCTTGTCCCAGTTGGGAGGCCCTTTCTACACTGGTCATGTGAACAAGAGGACTCTTAGTCTGGGAAGTGGCCCAGAGTGGCTGGATGGCACAGCCCAGCCTTTCTCCAATCACTTTTCATTTACTATAAACACGACCACAGACCGTAATCAACCACGTGGCCAACTTTAAAACTTTAATGTACATTTATATAGTCATATACATAATATTATTAAAATTATACATCTTAAATATTCCATTATTCTTTTAAAAATCAATTATTTTTAGCATATCATTTGGGGGAAAGTCCATTGTCGGAAAGAAGCTCAGAGGGAGGAAGCTGAGACCTAAATATTCCCCATTAGTCTACTGGTTGTAGGCCAGGAATCTGGATGTTTCTATACTGACGGCAGAGATGGTCAGGCCATAGATGCTTTTAAATCATCTCGATGGCTTGATGGTTTTTAAAGCGCCAACCCCAACCTGCCATTCATTCTGACTATCCTGGGGCAATATGGCTTCAAATTTGGTCACCTCACTTCTCTGGAAGGTTGAAAGTAACAAAGCTGAACGTTTCTTGGGTTAGTGATGGCCAGGGTGTTACCCTGCTTTTGCTCGGTACCCACCAGCTCCCTGGATCAGTTTGCTGGGCCAGAGTATGGCAACAGTGGTTTTGCCTCTAGGTGGTGCTGTTAGAGGACTGTGCTTGTAGATGTGGCCCAGGCAGTCCTCTCCCCTGTCCCCTGTCCCCTGTCCCAAGTCTCCAGGGGCGTGGCCGGTTGTTAGGTGTTTCCTGTTCAGCCTGGCAAGTTTCGGCCTGTTCACCTCTCACAGATTTAGGAGCTGGGTTGTTTGGAATCAGTGTAGCATCGTGAAGGCATTCTGTAGCCCACGGAGCACTGGGCTGACAGGCTAAAGATTTTATAGGGGAAGAGAGTGAACCGATCTCTGAATTTCTTTAAACAAATAGACTTTTCCCCTCTTACCCTGCCAATTGTGTATCCACCATCATAGTGCCACAGTGTGAACAGTCCAGGAACATGGGCTTCTGAGGTTCAGGTGAATGGAAGCCTGAGTAAGGACGTGAGGGACCCGAAGCCACGCTCCCGCCAGATCTTTAAAAATGTCTCAACCCTTCTCTTACCACCAGCCCACAAAAATGACAGAAAACAGGCCAAATTCTTTTCACTCTGTGGCACTGTAGATGGAGGCAACACACATTTGAGACAGTGGTAACAGGTTTGCATTTTATTTTAACTTAGAAAAATAATCCGGCGCAAACAGACGTTATTCACTCCATCCTGTCGTAAAGCTGTAATCCTCTGGCTATAAATTCTGAGCCACTCGAGGAAGAGCATGGCCAGTTCCAGAAAAATCTCCCCAGGTGTTCGCTTTACCAAAGTAAAGATGGCCACGGACGCCCCTCTTTGCAGACGCAGAATAAATTAACCCCAGACCAGGGTGCCGAGCCGGACAGCCGCCGCTCCTCATGTGCCTCTCAGGTGCTAGTCTCCTCCTTGCGACATGCGTGAGCGTGAAGTCAGGTTGTGAGTGTGTCAGGAGGAGGCTGGCACAGACAATATATGATCATAGAATATATTTATATAGAACAGTAAACATACCTGTGTATCGTACATATGCATATATAGGAAGCCATACGAATCACCCGCCTCTGCACAGGCAGCCCGTTGGTTTCTAGATTGTTCCTTAACAGTCAATAAAGTCCTAAGCAGGGCCCCTCCCCGGCGGCCCTCAGCATGGGGACTCCACGTAGTCGTTGTCCAGCCCGCGGCGAAACCGCGCCGTTAGGGAGCGGCTGATAACAATCACCCGGGGTGCCATGCAGTCCTCTCTTCTGTGAAGAATGTTCCAGATGAGCATGGCCGCCGCCAGGGTAGCCAGGAGGCAGGCGCCAATGTTTAGGTAGCAAGACCAGGATAGGCTGGTGTAGGGGCCAATTCTATAGAATGTCACCAGTCCGATGACCAGGACAAAACCTGCAAACGAAAGACAAGTGTTGAGAAAGCTTTACTCAGAGCCAGGAAGAGGCCTGTGGAACTCCTAACATGGAGCCCACACAGAGCCGAAGCTTCGCGTCTTCCCTGACCATCTGTGCTCCCCGAGTGGGCGATGACCCCAATGCTGGGTCCTGGTGCTTCCATGTTGAGCTGCTCTGTTAGGCCTGCGTGGGTTTTATGGCCTTTGGGTCTGGTGGCTGGGGGTGGGGTGGGGGTGTGCATCCTCTCAGTCCTGGCACAGGATAGTTTCTAGGGGCTTCGTAACAAAGTCTGGTCCTGCATACTCACCTTGGGCTCCTCCAGGTGTCAGGCTGCTTCCTTAGTTGCCTTCCCCATGGAAGTGACACTGACACTCGCTTTCCCTCACCCCAAACAAAACCAGCAATAACTTTGTGTAAGATCCTCTCTGACTTTTATAAACGCTTATTCATTCAAAATGAAAGCAAACAGAGAAATGTCCTAAATCTTATCTAGGAACAACTCAGAGTGGTACCTAGTCCAAATTCCTGTTTCTTAAAGAGTTTTCTTATTCTCAGCATTTGCTTCTAGAGGAAACAAGAGTTTTTCTTTCAAAACTCGAGGCAGCCTACAGCCTGCACACTTGGGGAGGGGGCAGAAGCCGAGATTGAAGATGTCTCCGAGTCTCCTGCCGGCGTGTTAGGTTTCTCCTCTCACTTCTGAATAGATGCATATGGTTTCAGAATTTTCCACTCACCCCTATACCCGCTTTGCCCCTGCCTATTTTCCCTCCAAACTTTCTCTTCTCTCGGCAAACTCCGATAGCAGAGAAGGGAAGGAGGCCATGCTAGGACTGGCCTGACTCCCACACTGACCACGGTTCCCAAGGACTTTATATTCGGTTTGTAACTAATGTCACAGAATTATTGCTTTCATGCTTTTACCTTCAAGGAGTTCCAAAGACTTGATTTTATTAGTTTTTACAGTAGGAAAGCCAAGGTTTTGCACCCAGGATCTGTCGACTAGGATAACGGGGCATTGATGTTTGATAGAGTTCAGGTCTGAATCTGGGTTAGAAGCCCCGACGGCTGGGACGAAGGACAGGCTACCACTGTCCTGTTGCCGAGGCTCGTCCACGTCCCCTGCCCTGGGCTCGGGCCAGGTTGAGAGGCTGCTACTGCTGTGGTCCCCTCTCCTGCCCTGCATTGTGACATCCATACATCTGTTCATGCTGGTCCCTCCACACTCCACGGCCACCCTGCTTTCCTCAGGAAACCAGGTCATGCACGACAAGCATGGTCCCAGAGCAGAGAGCAGCCATGATGCCAGCTAAGGTTCTAGTAACTGTGTTAGGAGGTGTGCCAGGGTGGGGTTGGCGGACAGGCTTGAGTTTTCTAAAAGCACAAGCATCATGGTCTCATCACTGTACCTTCCAGAAAGTATGAATTAAACATCCATCTACCGGGCCGGCTGAGTGGCTCAGTTGGTTAAGAGCTCGCTCAAGAGTTTGAGCTCTGAGCAACAGTGGTTCGAGTCAGCCCGAGCTGAGCAGCCGTGNGGAACAGTGTGTTTTTCTAGGTCCCATCAACTCTAAGTCAAGTAGTTGTTCCAATCTAGTTTTGGAGGGCGCAGCTACAGCTATGCGGCCCATGTGGGAATCAAACCGGCAATCTTGGTGTTATGAGCCTGCGCTGTAACCACCTGAGCTAACCGGCTGCCCCTAGGCAGTCTTTTTAATTTGACCCTAAAGTTCTTAGGATGAATGGCCATTAACACGTTAAGCGCGGAGCCGATTTTGCTGGGCTTTCCATTCAGGCGGTGGGCCGGCATGTCGGCACGCCGGCAACCACTTGGGTGTTGAGTTAGAGTATAAACAGGTGCACAATGGTGCAGCCAATGCAAAAGTATACAAATTCTAAACACAAGATAATGAGGTTGGGAACGGTAAGAAGGTGACCTCCAAGAGACGATCAGTTAGAAAAAGCCACAGAAGTGTAAAGATCTATTTGAGCAGAGAGAATTTAGTTTTCACAGTGATTACTTTCAAAAAGATTTGTTACCCATAATACCAAAAATGTTGAGAGGGTCGATACAAGAAGAAGCATTCACCAATTGGAAAAAAAAAGAAGGAAAGGCGCATAAAGTGCGTAGATATTGTTTTGAATGTTACAAGACAAATACAAAAACATTCCGGCGCAATGCAGCTAGAAAATTAACTAAACAGGTCGTTACCTTTTGTAATATGTGCAAATCTAAACCACATCTTTGCCTAGAATGTTTTAATAAACTTCATTAAAGTTACATTTACTTTTTTAACCTTGATACTGCTGGTCCCACTCACCAATGTCGCCCAAACAAAAAGTTCGCTGTCAGTCCCCAGGGACTGATGCCGCGCTTAATGTGTTAAGCATTGCGTTTTTCTAAAAGCCGTGCTGCTTCTGATGACTGACCTGTAGTCACGTCCCTCGGCCAAGTCCGGGCGGTTCCTGTCATCCGCACACTCAAGCATGCAGCCAGGGCAGGTGGCCCAGTCCCTCCCTAGCAGAGCTGTGATGAGAGCCGTGGCGACTGCTGGGGCAGGTAGCAGGTGAAGCAGGGCCCGCAGGTGTCTCTCTCAGAATTCCCAGATGTGCTCACGGAAGCAGAGCTCTGATTAGATCGCAGCAAGGTTGATGGACGTCAGGTCCTGCCTTGGGATGGTTAAACCACAGTGAGTGGCAGTGCCCCAGTCATTTTTCTGCACACACATTTCTGGAGGTTTCCCACTCAGTGCAAAATCCGCCCAAACTCCAGCCTCCTGCAGCCCATACACAACCATGAACCCTGAATGTAAGCCGCCCTGGACCGCGGGCCTCCTCAGGGCTTTTGCTTATGCTCTGCCCTGCGCCATCCACACCTAGGTCTGACACATTCTACCAGCATTTCAAGGCCCATCAAGCACCCCCTGAAGTTGGGAACTGCAGGTGAACTTGAGAAGCAGCAGGGAGATGGAGGAGCTGCCAGGACTGAGCTGGAGGCAGGTGGTAGAGGCTAGCCTTGCAGAAGTCACAGAGTAGCAGCAGGTTCAAGACCAGTGACATGCAGGGGGCGCTGGGTCCCAGGAGGGTGGAATATGACCCCCCTTTACACTGGGGAGCTTGTGCGGACACCAGAGAAATGGCTCCTGCACAGAAAGAAAGAAGCAGACAGTGGAGAAGAGGGGTGTGTGTGTGGGTTCCAGCCCAGAGGAGAGCGGGCGGGCGCAGCACCCAGCAGGCGGGAAGGAAGCCAACATTTAAGCACGCCAGTCCCTCAGTAGGTTGTATTTCAAGGTGCCAAGTGCGAGGAGGCATCAGGCAGCACACGAAAATCATGCTGGTGCTGGGGCCAGAGGACACTCTTCCTCTACGCACACCTGTTTGGGAGCTCTGCACTCGGTTGATGGTTCTTCTGAGAAAAACCAGTGGAGGGCACGCCGCTCATCCAGGTTATCGTTTCAGAAAATTCCACCTGAAATCGTGCTGGCGTTACGTCATTTTAAGACCTTTGCACATTTGTGTGTCCATGTCTGACTTGACAGTAAACACTCTTTCTAGTTTACAAAACAAACCTGGCAAGTGAGGATTTTCACAGCCTTTTTTTTTTTTTAATTGGGGAACAGTGTGTTTTTC